AGGACAAACTAAAATTTACCATTAATGACACCTGCAAGTCACTTGTTAGTGACAATATTCATCTGCACTCTCCTTTCATTTTGATAGCCTAGGGCCGTGTAGGAGTGTACCATACGTGTAATGAAACACCACACTTGTAGCACTTTTTTTTTTTTCATTTTTTCACGTTTCCAACCAAACGACTGCAGCTCACAGCGGCTCCCCAACATGTTGACCGTCAAGCACACGTCAAATCAAGCTCTTTCGCCCTTTTTTTTATTATTATCAGTGGTTTGATCATTCAAAGCGGTGCTACAAAAACAAGACATGAAAAGTAAGAAATTTTTCGGAGTCAACGCCACGGTAAGAACGCTAGGATCGCAGGCGTCATCGCATTATCATTACACAGGATAGTATGTGTATAATGTATCATACCGGACAATTAGCCCTAGTGTTGATGCCACGGTGCACTCAATTTCCAGTTGGGCTTTCGTTCGCTGTTTGCTCTCAAAATAAATTTAACTTCCACGAGATGGATGAAATTCAAATTTGGCCAAGAAGACCTATGCATGGACCTATGCAATAAAGAGCACGCCTTCATTTTCAAATTTTACGTAAGTGCCTTTCCAAGTCAAACATGGTATCAAAATTGTGAGCCCCTGCCTCTCGTAAATGGCAAACTTGGGCAGATTCTAATGGGCCAGAGCCACTTTTTGGTGATAGCAGCAGCGCTGATTGTGAAAATGACTTTGGCTTATCCAACTTCAGCACACACAGCGAAAGTGCATCACACAGCCTCTGAATGTCGACACATATCCATTGGCAAGCTTTATTCTATCTCCAGGCATGTACTCCGTTTTAAAGATATTCAGTGCACTCTAAAGATTACAGTTTTTATCTGGAGGGTCAACATCATTTGGGTGATACCAGTTGATGGCAGCAGCTCAACGAGTGGAGTTTGCAGAAGTTATATGGAGTGAACCTCTGTGCATTGCATCCGAGCCATCGATTTCTCGACGCTGTTCTTTACCTCACAAATAATCGCCCAGATGTGCAATGATTGATATGTGGAGTTTAACGTCCCAAAACCACCATATGCCCCGCCGCGGTGGTCTAGTGGCTAAGGTACTCGGCTGCTGACTCGCAGGTCGTGGGTTCGCATCCCGGCTGCGGCGGCTCCATTTCCGATGGAGGCGGAAATGTTGTAGGCCCGTGTGCTCAGATTTGGGTGCATGTTAAAGAACCCCAGGTGGTCGAAATTTCGGGAGCCCTCCACTACGGCGTCTCTCATAATCATATGGTGGTGTTGGGACGTTAAACCCCACATATCAGGATAACCGATGGTCATTAAGGGTAACTAACTGGATTCCCAGAGAAGGCAAGCGGGTTAGGGGGAGACAGAAGTTTAGGTGGGCAGATGAGATAAAGAAGTTTGCCGGTGTAAATTGGCAGCAGCAAGCACAGGACCGAGTTAACTGGCGGAACATGGGAGAGACATTTGTCCTGCAGTAGACGTAGTCAGGCTGATGATGATGATGATGATCGCGGATGATGATGATGATCGAGGAGCGCTGGACGAGCAAGCGACCCACCTTCCGTGGCCAGCGGCGAGGCCCCTGATAACATAGGCCTAGCACCTCCGCCGCCGCCCGTTTAAGATAACGCATCCGGCAGCGGCCGCGTTCGTCTTGACACAGCAGTGCTGCACCCGTTAGAAGTGGCAGAGGTGCGTCGCAACGCCGAAAACAAGCTGCAAGAGCTCGCTTCAACTGGAGCAACACAACGCAAGTGCGGCCCGTTAGCCGATATCGACGATGCCGCAGCCACGCCGCTGGACGAAACACGGTTTTTGATCGTGAGTTTGGACCAGGTGAACGAACTGATGCGTGCAGTGAAGTGCAAATTGTGCTCCGGTGATGTAAACATCGGCAAATAGGACAGGGAGTACGGCCTTGCCGTAAAGCTAGTGCTTACGTGCGCGACCTGCGGCGATGTGTCGGTGGCATGGAGCTCGCCGCGCGTTGGAGGCAAGAGCAAGGCAAAGCCGTTTGCCATCAATGTTTTGGGCGTGCGCGCTACGCAGTCTACTGGCAATCAGCAAACGGCATTCAACAACGTTTTTTCATCGATGAACATTTTTTCGCGCGGCCTGCACAACAAAACGTGGCAGAGCTACGTGAAGACGAAACTGACGCCCGCAGCTGTTCGTGCGTCGGAAAAGCTGACCGCGGAGTGCGCGCGATCGGTTCGGGAACTGGACCTCGGCAACCCGGGCAACATCGCTGTGTCGTACGACGGTTCCTGGATGACGAGGGGACACTCGTCGCACATCGGAGTCGGCACAGTTATCGAGTTGTTTACGGGGCTTGTGCTCGATTATGTCGTGCTCTGCAATTTTTGTGCCGGCTGCGAGCGGGCGCCTAAAGAAAGTGACCCGTCCTACAACGAGTGGAAAGCGAACCACCACTGCCAGAAAAACAGCACAAAAAAAAACTGGAGAGATGGAAGTGGAAGCTGCCTTCATTCTGTTTCAGAGGTCGTGGGAGCGTCATAAGCTGAGATACACTACAGTTCTTTCTGATGGCGACTGCCGCACCTACCCTGCTTTGAAGGAAGCAGATGCGTATGGTTTTATAAAGGTAACCATAGAGGAATGTGTGAACCACGTCCAGAAGAGGATGGGCACGCAACTGCGCAATCTCCCCAAGCAGAGGCCAGCTGGCTCTGAGAGCCTCAGTGATAGGGGGCGGCTGACTGGTGACCTGGTTAACAAATTAACCTCTTACTATGGCTGGGCCATCAAATCTCGCAAAGGGGACGTGCCAGCCATGCACAATGCTGTGATGGCCACATACCACCATGTGACGTCCAACGATGCCGTGTCCAACCACAGCCTGTGCCCTACAGGTCCTGACTCGTGGTGCCGCCAGAACGCTGCCAAGGCCAGGGGTGAGCCGGCCCCCAAACACCGCTACAACCTGCCGCCGCATGTCTGTGAGGCCTTGCTTCCAGTGTACGAACGCTTGGCAGACAAGAAGCTGCTGGAGCGCTGCCAGCGAGGCAAGACTCAGAACAGTAATGATGAAAGTCTCCACTCTGTGATTTGGTCGCTGGCCCCGAAGGAGCGCCATGCATCACTGCACAGTGTAGAAGCTGCGGTCGCCGAGGCAGTGATGAGGTTTAATGCCGGAAGTCAAGTAACATCATCCAAGATCCTCAAAGAGCTGTGCTTGAACCCCGGCCTACTGAGTAGCAAACGCATGGCTGAAAAAGACCGCCGCCGAACCAGGAACTCTACCCTCAGGCGTGCGTCTACAGAAAATGTGCAGCGGACGCTCAAGAAGCGGCACCTGGATGCCAGCAGTCAAGGGGACTATGCTTCTGGGGCCTACTAGTCATTTCGCTCCAAAAATGTACAGAATGTTTTACCGTTTACATTAAACATGGCACCGTTGTGTTTTTTGCCCTTTTCTCAAAATGCATAATTTTGACGTTTAGGAAATTCTTGAGAGGTACATCTCGGCATGCGGTGCAGCTAGAAAGATAATTTCTTTTGCATTGTCAAGCTGAATGTTTAAACCTTGAAGTAAGGGAAACAGATTTTGCATTTCACGTTTAAATAATTGTTTAAATAACTGGTTAGCAGGCATACTTTAAACCGAGAAATTAGAATTGATGTAAACTTGCATGTGTGATTGCCAGACAAAAAAACTGCTTCCGTCATTTCATTCTCCACAACTTCTAGTATCTATTCATGCCATGCTGGTAATTTTTTGTTGACAAGTTTTTTTTTCTATTGTTCTCAAGAACAATCACGAAAGATTTTTAATTATCTCGGGAACTAATTAGCTTACATCAAAACTAATTGGATATTTGAAATCAGCTAAAAAAACTGAACAAGCCCATGGAGTTTCATTAAAATTGGTTGGAAAGTAAAAAAAAAGTTTCTAAGACCAGTGTAAAGAAAGTAAAGCTTAAACTGATGACTACTTTCAATGTTGCTCAATAAAAGCGAGTTGTTGAGGGAGTATTCGTATTTTACTCTTCATTTCCCCAATTGAGATTCTTTTCTTACGCTTTATGACAATATGCAGATTTTGCAGGCCCAATTAGATTCTGTTCAATAATAGTAGACTGAATAAGGGTTTGTTTCGTAATAAAACAATTGTGATAGTTTAGAACTCGTAAAAAGCTGCCAAAGAGAGGATTATGACCCCGTTCATTCAAGCTTCATTTATTTAGCCTGAAAAATCAAGCAGTCTGGCGACAAATCAACCCTGTGTGCTCAGCAAAACTGGTACGCAAACATTGTTCCTGTGAAACAAATTGCACTGGTTCCACTAATCTCAAACGTGCTACTGTAACGAACATAGAGCGTGCTTCACAGAAGAGGTCTTTGTTCTTTTCCAGTTCTCTGTAGATGTCTCAAGATATATATTATATATATATATTCTTTCTTGAGAGTGGTGCCAAACACCGTGCTCGCGTTTCTCCATGGTAGGCTGGCAGGTGAATGCAGCACCATCGTGTGCCTCTTTCAGTGCGCAAAAAACTCTGCAATTATGTTCACATCAAGGAAAACTAACAGAAGCACATAAAATATAACTTTAAGCTATACATATTTGTTTTCAAACAAAGTAAGCCTACATGCAGGTTTTTTGGTCCTGTTTAACAGCCTGAACCACATTGCCGTTCGGCGACAACAGCGGTCATAATTTCACAACTTTCTGAGCAAAATTTAATCTACAATCCATTTTTCATTATACAAGAGCACGTTCATTGCCCCCTATGTGACAAGAAATCTAGACATTTCTGTAAAAAAAAAAAAAAAAACACAGTGGTAGACAGTCCCCTTGTGTAGTTACGCGAGCCCCCCCCTCCCCCAAATTGGCTGAAAAAAAAAAAAGCCTAACATCAGCAAACATTGCTGCAGTGCTTCAAATAAATGAGGGCTAAACATCCCATCCACACACTCAAGCACACACACACACACGCCCAGTAAAATAAGATCTTGTACATACCTTAATGTATGCGTGGTCACGCGTCTGTTTTGACAGATAAAATAGAAAAATATCAGTAAATGCACTAGCTTTAATAAGATATAAAATAATAGACTAAAATTAATGCTCATGCAACAGCAGACGTACAAGGCCGATTTTCAAAGCAAAAGCAAGATCATATTCAATGTGGGTTGTAATGCAAATTACCAAATACCGAAAACACAGCAAACAAAAAACTATAATTCTGGTCTTTCTCATGCTCACCCTATGTACTGATCTTGCACACACTACACCAATGCAATATTAACTGACCGATTAAGTACCCATACAAAGCTCCAATAATTAGGTATAAAGAGACAAAACGACCCGCAAGGGATCAGTCCGTCGAAAAACATGCTTGGTAAAATAAGACACTTCATGCTTTGAAAATAAAGACACTTCATTATATAAAATCGCAAAGTAATTCCTATTAAAGTGCCATTTTCCATTCTCTCGAACAATGAAGCAAACAATAAAAATGTTTCTTTGATAACATCGAGCTATAAACCAGTCACACACTCACATTAAACAAGCGCTGAATGAAAAGAAAAAAAAAGTCCATAGAAAAAAGTTTGCAGTGTTAGATGCCAGGTGCAGCTATAACAGACGTCAAGTGGCACATAAGCTATCTAAATCAAATTCACTAGTCTTTGCAAAAATGAAATGATAAAAGGCAACTTGAATGTGCTGCAGGCAAGAGCAAGCTCACTTTACAAACATATATGCTTTAGCACCAAGTAAGCTGTTAATGCGATTGCAACGAATGACTAAAACATCAAATGGAATCCAAAGGTCTACAAAAGTCTACTAAGGGAAACTGCAAATGTGACAATAGAAGTTTGCAAGCTTAAAGTTACATTTAGCAAAAAAAAAGACTGTACACTGTACAGCTATTAAACTGGCTTCACTGTTAAACTAAAAAATTGAAGATTTATGACAACAATTCTTTAAACTTTTCCATTACTTATGTAGACTGATCAGGGAGATGCTACTATATAAGGAAAGAAGTGTATACTTAAGCGCTCGTTTTTCCGTGTGTGATAATATAATGAGATCTAACAGACAATAATACCAAAGAAAGTATAGGGGAAGTTATAATGTAAATGTGAAGAAAGAAAAGTTGGTGGAAAGATAACTTGGTGTGAGCAGGAATCGAGAGAGAGAGAGAGAGAGAGACACACACACACACACACACACAATACTTGCTTTTACATGCTTTGTCTTCACTTTGATGACAAAATACCAAGGTTCGATTCCGCTTTAAAGAGCACAAGGCGGCTTCCAAACTAAAACGCTTATTGTCGACACTTCCCTTAAAACTGTCCCCTGGCTGCTTGCCATTGCATATTGCATGAAGAATTAACTAAAACTACATGCTCAAAATATTCACGATTCCAAAGCTCTCATGACGGAAGAAATAATTCAAAAAGCAAATCTTTGTCACACAAATGAGCTTTCATTTCCAAATTTTTATCGAGATGATATCCTGGATAACTTCTCGAGTTTGGACATCATGTTTTTGTACTTATGATAGCCAGATCAGGATGAAATTTTTCACACATTTTCAAACATTTTAAGGCTGTAATTAGCTCCTTTAAAACTCGATATTCTTTATATACTTATGAACTTAAGGTGAGCATTTACCATACTTATTCAAATCTAAGCAGAATTTTTTTTTTTTTTTTCAAAGTTCTTTACATCAAACTCCAGGGTCAGCTTACGATTCGAGGATTTTGAAAAACCTACCATTTTTCATTAGGAAAAGAGGTGCACAACTAGCGCCACTTGGATGGTTTATAGCCCTTAGTAGCCAAGGCAACACCTGGTTTAAGTACACATGTGAGGTCGCCATTTTTATCTTTGAGGCGAGTGTTAAGGTTAGTTTAGAGGTTGAGGCGAGCTGCATTTGTCATTTCGAGGCGCTGCGTCGTGCTTCCTACCAGGCAGCAGAAATCGGGCACCTTTCTTTTTTTGTTCTAACCACCACCTCCACCACCACCACCGTTTCGAGTCGCGCTTTGATGTCAAACAATAGGTGTAATTATAGTGCTGCTTATAAAAGGAAAGTTTTCCGAGCTGCAGAGTTGTCCATCGTTCAGGCCGGGCAGGACTTTGGAATAAACAAAAAAAAAAAGTGCCTCGCTGGATTGGCTGCAGCAAGGGACGACAACCTGGGAACTTAGGTCATCATGAACCAAGTGCTTTGTTTCATCTTTACATTCAATAAATGTTCTCTGTTTGAGAACGTCTTCGCCATTTCGTTCTGCCTACATTCAATGTGAGCTTTCTTTTTTGTTTGGGGCAGGAGGGGGAATGGCATCAGCCTTTTGGGGGTCTGCTTAAGAGTCTGCGTACAACCTAGATTCAAGTTAATACGGCAGTATGGGCTGGGAATTTAAAAAACAAATCGCATTACACTTTTTCTTGTTTACATATCTTATACACACTTTTTTGTTAGTTATTCTACAGTTAATCAGGAGTTATAAGCAGCATGGGTCATTAATGGCTCATAACCATAAAAGTTTAGTGGCAGAAAAAGTGTCTCAACACAAAAACCTATGTTAACAGCAAAAATTTCATTGTCATACGCTATAGATTAAAGCAACTTTGTTGGTTTTTTTTTTTCTTTGAGAGCCCCCATGTCCCCTTAATTGCGATTTCAATTTGAAATTCTCCTTCAACTATCCTTATTTTCAAGTCTATACTTTTCACTCGTGGTCAGTCATAAGAGATGGCCCGCCAACATGCACTGGATGACAAGAGTTGCTTAGAATTGCACGACTACAAATTGAGCCAGATTTATATGCTGTGCAGGGAGATTCAGACGAAGCTCTGAGCCTCGCACATCGTGAAATTGCCAGGGAAAGGCACAATGCCACTGTGGAGGGCATCAATGCTGGCTAGCAGTATGACTGACTAAACAAAGTATCAAAATTCTCAACAGCTATCCAGGTTTCCCCAGCCCTCACAAATAGAACTTCCCAAACAAGTCAGGGTGATTAACTGCCCCACTCAATCCAAAGCTACACATAGCATGCAGTCTTGCATGCTTGGAATACTCTCTCAGGGTGATTGACTACTTACTTGGAATAGAGTATTCCAAGCAAATGCAAAGCCTAATGGTTAAATTTAGTAATGCCACTTTACAGCCTTTCTCACTTTCCTGAAGAAGCTGCAGTTGATTAAATAAACAAAAAATCTGCAGAAATGCATGTACATCCCAGTATATAAAAATCTGTGTGCCTTGGCTCATAAGGTAGTTACACGTACAACGGCAAGAGGAGCAGAGTTAGAGTGCATTTTGCCATTTCCTTAGTCCTTCGCACGCAGCACTGATTCTGCATTAAAGACAATAATAAGCTCGCATATACCACCACTAAAGAGAAGAAAATTCCGGTGAGTTTAGCCACATCCACTCCTTTCGAGGCCAAGGGCGAGTGACCCTCTTCCCACAGACAAGCCGCGTTGCACCGCTGACGTGCAGTGCTCCATCGCACATTCATAACATCCGCAATGACTGAAGAAGCCGTTCGTATAACACTGAATCACGGCACATTTTGTATAAGCTAATCCATCTAAAACAATCTTAAAATTCATATCATCGAGATTCTACAGTAGTACGTTTTTCTTCAACAAGGGCCAGGGTTGCCAATGCCATCAGTAACGATGGATGGAAGTTTCTGTAATCACCATCATCATTATTGGTGAAGTCAGTTCATCATGTGGCAGGCAACACTGATAGTGATGGTTTTTGAGGGGGCAAATGGCATTGTTGGCTAAAGAACACAGTGCCTTTTTATGTACCGTAAAATCCTGAGCAGACACCCCTACCTGAGAGCAAGCACCCCCTCAATTTTCAGTGTTTTTATTCACCCAATCAATGTGAATGAAAACAGTGAATGCATGCGTGCACGGCTGCCTGGTTCCTACATCGAAAAACCAAGAATTTCCACAAAAAGATGCAGAAGCACAGGAAGGATTTCCGTAAACTGAACAGCGAGTGGCACAACACTGTGAGCAGTCTAATCATCACTTCCTGGAATGCTGGCGCATTCAACAGCCAGCAAAAGCATCAACCGTACCACAGGGTCACTGCCACTGCCCTCCCTCTTCTACTATAAAGTTTTCTCTCTCTATTTCTTGGCGTTAATGTGTATGACCCTCCTAAACTGCAGAGCCATGCATGATTTCACTGCTCCAACACGGCAGGCCGCGTGTTCTAGCGCTATTTTCACATCTCGAAAATATACATCGAACAGATTAAACTTTGCTATTATCGCTTTAAAAAAATCCTTTTCACTATATGGCCAACCAACTATGCTCAAGTGGCCAGACAAAGCTCTGGACGCCCGGGGCAATCTGGATTTCCGGGATATTTTCCTATGACCTGTACAATAGAGAGAAACGATCGAAATCTCGGAGTCCCACAGGTAATCCATGAGACTCGGCAGGTATGCGATTCCTTGCCGGCATCTATCAAGCGTGTGCAGTTTCTTTCGAGACGAAACCCGGGGGTCGTAGTTGGAAGCACACCCCAGAGTAATGCACGGCGCTTCGGCCGAGCTGTCAATTTCTTCCAGCTGTCTTTCACTGCTCAGCTCACCAGCATACACGAACAAATGTCTGTGGATGCTTCTTTTTAGAAAGGCAAAAATACACGAAAGAGACTATTCGTGGAGAATCTACTTAGGAATTGAATTGCTTATTTTCATCTCTACTGTAATACCTCAGAGTTATTTTCACACCACATTCCTTCAAAGATTATGGCCAGAAGCCTTTTTTTTTCATTCTTTGCTTTTCTAAGTGTCATAGACTGAGCAGATAAACTCCGTCCGCGATGGCAGGCTGCACAGGATAATCCATATACTGCTGCACCCTCATCGACTATTTTTTGAAAGAACAGTTTTTGACAATTATGTTTGAAACTTGTGCAACCTTTTTGTAGAATAGTAAGCTACAAATGATATTTCTCGAAATATTTATAACATTATTTTTGATGGTAAATG